CCGCGCTGCACGGTCATGCTCGACGATTGATTTCTTCGCATTAAGTTCAGCTGCGATGCGGTCATTCAAACGTGCGTCTGCGGATGTGGCTTGGGCCGTTAAGCCTCATCGACCTGTTCAACTGGAGTTGGCAGTCGTTGGGCAATCGTTGCAGTATCTTGCCTATGGCATGGCACCCAAGATTCCTGGCGCCCAGGTTTCTGGGCCGCATTGTGAAGACGTCTTGGGCCGCAGAGGCGTCTTACGCTGAGCATGCTGTGGATCTAGCCAAGCATCAACGTGCTGACGGTGCTTGGGGTTTTCTCTCCACCGCATGGGCCAAGTTCGTTGCCCGTGCAGCCAGAGGCTATCCCATATCACGGCGACTGAGGTGCAGGATTTCATCTCGTTCGCCAGATGTCCGACGCCACGGTGGGTTGAGGTCAGATACGAAGCTGCGGACGCTGAAGGTGTCCAGGCCCGAGCTGAAGGATGGCGGTGGCTCCACAGCGCCATCGCCTACATCATCCAACTTGGAGAGGCGAGTCCATCCAACGGTCGGTGCACTGGGCCATCAGCTGCACCTACGTCGACGGCGCTGGCAGTGCCGCGCTCGCGCACAGAGCCAACTCATGCCATGGACACCGTGGACCACGACCCGGTCGCCGACCTTGGGGCAGAACTGGATATGCGAGACACTACTCAGAGTGGGAGTGGGTCTAGTATCGGATCCAGGCCACATGCCAGTGCCAACCCCCCTGATGGGCCTCGTGGGCAGGGTTGTCTTGGGATCGGGCCCTCCCGTGCCTCCCTGGTTGCCGCTGACTGCGGTCAGACTGCGTCGGTCCTTGTGGACCAGGTCGCCTCGTCTCCGGCCAGTGAGGGCGATGGTCGGGGGGCGGCTGACAGACAGCCCAGCGTCGATCCTGCCAGCAAGATTGCTACTGAGATCGAGTCTTTCCAGTCGCTGATCTACGTTGGGCAGGGCCCCCGCAACAGACTTGATGCCACGGTGGAGCAAGCTCGCAGAATTACCGCCCATGTGCCGCTGCGCATCTGCAACCTTCGTGAGCTGTTGGACGAGATTGAGGAAGACCTCCAGGCCGTCAACCAGGAGGCTGGGCGAGACAGCAGCAGTCGCTGGAAGGCTTGGTGCGAACAGGCTAGTGCTGGAGGCGCGCGTGGCCTTCATCGCATCACCAAAGTCAAGGACGCGCAGCAGCCGACGGTAGTCCGAGGCAACCGTGGCGCCACAGCTCACCCTCATCACATTGTTCCTGCTATGGAGAAGTCACACATGGAGGTGTGGCATGGCAAGCTGCAGGCACAGCGAGCTCGCATTCCAGATCGCGAGTCTCTGCCCAGAGCCACGCCTGAGCAGATCAGGGCAGCCGCCAAGTCGTTTCCGTCGTCGACTGCCAGCAGCCTAGACGGCATCCATCCGCGGTGCCTCGGCTTCCTGAGTGGCGAGGCGCTCAACGTGCTGAGCGCCCTCTGGGAGGCCAGCGAGGCCCTCGGTATGCTACCGAAGCAGTTGCAGTGGATCCTCCTCCCGATGCTCCCCAAACCCGCTGGAGGGCATAGGTTGGTAGTTGTCTATGCTGCCAGCTACCGTGTGCGGCAGCGTGCCAAGCGTGTGCACCTCCAGCCGCTTCAACAGTTTCTTGATCGCAAGTACTGGGGAGTTGCCACTGGCAGATCTGCTATCGACAATGCGTGGGCACTGGCGGCGCGCACTGAAGTAGCCGCGTCCACCCAGATGCATCCCATCACCCTCGTGGCATATTATTCGAAGTATTATGAGGACATCGAGCTGGACGAGCTGCAGTTCAAGTTCGACCAGATGAATGCGCCCACTGGCTTTACAAAGCTCATCTTCAACACTTGGCGGGGCCCGACGATTATCAGGTCTCAGCGCCATCGTGGAGAGTGCCCTGGCTTTGCAGGGCGCGGCGTGCCAGCAGGGGACGGTATAGCCGACATTGCCATCAAGGTACAGGCGCTGGCTGAGTACGACAGGTCTGTTTGCCTCCATCCGCTGGCATCTTTTTCCAGTTACATAGATGACACAGCGATCGGCCTTCATCATGCTGATGCAAAGATGGTCGTCCAGCTCGCCGTCCAAGCTGGAAGGGATTTCCGTCAGGTGGCCAATGAACTTTGTCCACGCATCAATGACAAGTTTGCCATCATCGCCTCCAGCGCTGAGCTTGGTCGCGCAGTAGCCAAGCAGTTGCAGGTGTCGGAGGCTGTTGCCGTCAAGCGTGTGGTCTCCTACCTCGGTGTGGACTATTCCGCTGGGCGTGCGCGTCGGGCGCCAGGTGTTCGAGCGAAGCAGCGCAGCCGCATTGTTCGTCATAGGTTGCGCATGCGGAAGATCACCAAGTACAAAAAGGCGCTCCCTGTCAAGAAGGATCTTCGTCTTGGAAGGATCTATCGTACAGGTGCGCGCCCTGCCTGCACGTGCGGAGTCGAGGTGAATGGGCTCACTGACCCTGAGCTCAATGTCTTTCGTCGTGCATACGGGCGCCAGGTCAAGCCATACCATGGCGGCATTTCTGCTACGGCCAAGCTGGCGTTGGACGGCGACCCCGCCATCCGTCAGGCTATTGCTCCCGTCATTCAGTACAGTCGTATGCTGTGGGTGGCAGTCACTCGCCCTGAGCGTGCATTAGTGTCCAAGGAAGATTTGTTGCTGTGGTGGGACTCTGCTGTCGCCTACTTGGGCCGGTCTCTCAGCTGGTCTAAGTCGCGTGGACCGCTTGAGAGAGCGGCGCTCTGCCTTGAGCGTGTGGGTTGGTCAATGCACAGTGCAGCTTCGTGGCGTGATCACCTTGATCAAGAGGTTCGAGTCGATCAGCTCTCACCTGCTGTGGTTGAGGATTTGCTCGGCATGTCGATGCAGCGGACGCTCGAATGTCAATTAGCCGGCAAGCGGGAGTTGCCTGCTGGAGTTCGCGTGGCTTTCGACCTAATCCAAGGTGCTGTGCGAGAGCGCTCGGCCAAGTACTCAAAGTTTCAAAAGTTGCTCATTCGTTCTTGCGCTTGTGAAGGATTGTGGACCCGCAGTCGGGCAACATATCGTGGATGCGACACCGACGGCCTCTGTAGCTGCGGGCAGCCCGACACTGTGCATCATCGGCTCTACTCCTGCACTCGCGCCGACGTCCTGGCAGCTCGAGCGGAGAGTGAGGTCAGCTTGACTTTCCTCCAGGAGGGCCGCGACGCAGTCGGCGACCTGCGCTACGTCACGGGGGCCTTTGCGCGCGGGGAGGGCCTGCTGCCGCCGCTGGACAGCGGCGCGACCGTCCACCTGCTCGAGGCTGACGGCCAGGAGGCCGACTGCGAGCCAGAGACCCTCTGCAGTATCATTGACTCTGACGTGGTGTCGGTGGAGATCGCTGTGGACGGATCCTGCAGTGCGCCGCTGCTTGCAGCAGCTCGCCGCGCAGGTTGGGCTCTGACGCTGCTGGACCCGCAGGATACTCAGCCGCTCCGAGTGATGTACGGGGCCGTGCCTGGCTCGCTCCCCCAGCGCTCGGCCATGGCTGAGCACCTCGCGCTGGCCTACGTCGGGCAAGTGGCGGACAGGCCGACTGATGTTTTCGCCGACTACATGGGCGCTGTGCTTGAGGCCGCCACGAGTCCTGAGGAGCAGCTGCGCCCTGGCGCGCGATATGGATGTGCCGGGCTTTTTGGTCAGCAGATGCCTGGATACCGTCACATCAGATCGGTCTCCCATGTGAAAGCTCATCGTTCCCCTCACCAGTATGCTGAGTTGTCCGACGTTGAGAAGAGACTGACCGACGCCAACGTCGTGGCCGATGTATATGCCAAACGTGCCGTCTCGCTGCATGGAGCTGTGCCGTACGAGCTCGAGGAACAGCTCGAGGAGGGACTGCGCATAGCAAATGGTTTCGTCATGCTGGCCGCCGCCGTCCTGCCGCTGTTCGAGAAGGACGAGCGCTGGGCGCGGCCGAGACCTGTGCAGCGCACTGTGCATGTACAGCACACGGGTTGGCACGAGTGGCAGCGCACGATGTTAGGCGAGCAATGTAGCAAGTGTCTGTGTATTGCGAGTGGCACGCATGAAAAGCCAATGACAGGGTGTAGAGGCATGCCTGTGTACTTTGCTCAGTTTGTGCGTAACCCCCTTGGTCAAACGCTAAGTGCAGTGAATCAGGGGGGTAGGTCCCCTGCCACCCCAGGTTGTTTTCAGCCAGTGCACGTGTGCAGTAAGTGTGGCGCCTGGGCTCAGCAGCCCAGGCGAAATAAGTTGCGCAGACCTTGTGAGCCCCCAACCAGGAAGGGGCTCGAGGTCCTGGTTAGTTTACGTCGGGGAGTGGGCCCACACAAGCGGCTCGCGCGTCAGGTTGATGCCGTGCTCCCAGCCAAGCAGTCTGTCTCTCGTGCTGTGAGGCGTCCAGAGCTTGAGACCACCCGTGTTTCCAGAGCTCCTGTTGTCGAGGGCCCCCCGACCTACGAGTCCAGGATGGCTGCCCTCGCCGAGAGAATCCGTCTGAAAGAACAAGCTGCTTCAGGCTAGTTTGTTTTCAGGCCTGGCAAAGTCGCCGTAAGTTGTGCACTGTAGTGCACGCGCCAGGGCCCTGAGCCGCTGGCGTGACCAGGTTGAGCCACCATCCTCTTAGAGTTTCAGCATTCAGCATCCTCCCTTCCCCCCTAATCCACCTCTTGTGCCAGGAGGGGTGTTTCCCCGCCAGTGGGCCCCCCCCTCCCCTCCTCCTCGTCCTCCTCCTCCTCCTCCTCCTCCTCCTCCGCCCTCCTCCTCCTCCTCCTCCTCCGCCTCCGCCTCCGCCTCCGCCTCCTTCTCCTCCTCCTCCTCCTCGTCCTTCTCCTCCTCCTCGTCTTTCCCCTCCTCCTCCTTCTCCTCCTCCTTCTCCTCCTCCTCCTCGTCCTCCTCCTCCTCCTCCACGTTGTCCTCCTCCTCCTCCTCCTCCTCCTCCTCCTCGTCCTCCTCCTCGTCCCTCGCTCCCTCCCTCCCTCCCGCCTTCCGAGCCCAGGTGTTCGAGCTCATCCTCCCCGTGCTCCTGGTCTGCGGCGTCCCGGGCTCAGGCGGAGCGGTCCAGCGGCCTAGGGCATGGACCGCTTCGGCAGGGAGTAAGCAAGGGGGGAGGATGGAGGGCGAGGGATGATGATGATGATGATGATGATGATGATGATGATGATGATGATGATGATGATGATGCTTATGATAATGATAATAATTGTGGTGATGGTGATGATGATGCTGACTATGTGTCTTCTTCTTATTATTATTCGTAATATTATTGTGTTTATTATTCTTATTTTTATTCGTATGATTAATATTATTGTTATGCTAATTATTATGTTTATCATTTGTAGTATTATTATTATTATTATTATTGTTATTATTATTATTATTATTATTATTATTATTATTATTATTATTATTATTATTATTATTATTATTGTTATTATTATTATTATTAGTATTATTGTAGTGGCCTTCGGCCAGTGCCGCCGATCCGGGGCGCTCCGACTGATGTGATCCTTCTTCGCCCTCGTCCCTCCTCTCTTTTCCCCTCCCCTCCTCTCACTGAGCATTTATCCAGTGGCCGTCGGCCTACCCCGCCACCGTGCGTGGGTGGTGGGTCAGAGGCCTCATGGATGCTGGTTGGGATCTCGTGGTTGGCTGGGACTTCTGGGGGCCTCTTGAGCGCCTCTTGGGGCTTCTTGGGGGCCTCTTGGGCCTCTTGGGGCCACTAGAGGGCCTCTTGGGGTCTCTTGGGGGCCTCTTGGGGCTTCTTGGGGGCCTCTTATGCGCCCCTTGGGGCCTTTTGGAGGCCTCCTCGGAGCCTCTTGGTGCGGGAGGGGTGGTACTCGAGTTCGGAACCCCCTCGGAGGCCAGCCACGATCCTCGTGAGGGGTGTCAAAAAACGCATCCGCCGGAAACTCGCACCCCCCCCCACCCCCACCCCCCTTCCCCGTCAGAGCCACCCCGGCAACCCCCCCAGAGGCTGAGGCTCAGCCTCGAGGCTGTAGCTGAGACTCCTTGAAACTCACACGCCGGATCGGCGGATTATTGGTAATATTGTTGTTATTGTATAGTATTGTCATTATCATTCGCATTATTACTCTTACTATTACTTTTATTATTGGCAATATTATTCGTATAATGATGATGATGATGACGATGCTGATGATGATGCTGCTGATGCTGCTGATGATGGTGATGGTGATGCTGATGATGCTGATGATGATGGTGATGAAGATGATTATGATGTTGATGATGCTGATGCTGCTGATGATGATGACGACGATGATGGTGATTTTGGTGATGATGATGATGATGACGACGATGCAGATGATGCTGGTGATGATGATGATGATGATGATGCTGATGCTGATGGTGATGATGATGCTGATGATGGTGATGATGATGCTGCTGCTGATGGTGATGATGGTGATGATGATGATGATGCTGATGATGATGATGATGATGACAATGCTGATGCTCATGATGATGCTGATGATGATGATACCGATCATGATGCTGATGATGCTGAGGAGTATGGTGATGATGATGATGCTGATGTTGATGATGATGATGCTGATAATGATTATGATTATTTTGATGATGATGATGATGATGATGATGATGATGATGATGATGATGATGATGATGATGATGATGCTGACGATGATGCTGATGATGGTGATGATGATAAGGCTGCTGATGATGATGATGATGATGGTGGTGGTGGTGATGATGGTGACGATTATGATGATGATGGTGATGGTGGTGATGAGGAGGAGGAGGAGGAGGAGGAGGAGGAGGAGGAGGGGGACGGGAGGGGGGGGCAGGGGGACGAGGACGAGGGGGAGGGGGAGACGGAGAGGTAGTGGGGAGGAGAAGAGGAGGAGGAGGAGCAGAGCAGAGCAGAATATCATGGAGTCCCTGTCTGAACGTGGGCTAAGCTACCGCGTTAATTCAGACTGTACTCTGAGAAGGTTCCTTCGAAACCAAACCATTACGATGCGAGCCGAAACAAGGCTCACAGCCCGAACTGCACTGGCCTGGCGAGCACCCCTATGGGCACGCAGCCCTCAGAGGGGGCCCGCACGCCTGGGCGCGACGACGTCTGCCTTCCCCCCGCCCGCCAAAGCTCACCCCCCGCCTCCCCCGCCCAGAGTGCCTGCCTCTGCCTTGATTCAGAACTACGACAGGGACTGTTGGTGCCACAGGCACCGCCAAACCTCCATGGTGCTCCTCGGAAACACTGGGCCGATTGATGGCCCTTTCAACCTGCCCACGAGAAACTCTAACCGAGGAAATCAACTCAGCGACTCTAGAACTGTTCACATCATCTTCTTCCCTTGCTTCTCGCGATGTAGGCGGACTCGGGAGTACGGTACTGCCCTCGCTACCTCCGAAAGCTCGGCCTTGCTGAGCTTCTCGTCGCAGAACTCCTTTATCTCTCGCTTCACCTTCTCCGCGCGCTGCTGCTTGGACTGGTCCGCTTCTTCTGCTAAGCTCTTGGTGGCCCGGTACTCCATCACGGCCATGAACACCGAACGATGTGGGTGGCTCCGAGCTTTGTGATCTACGACTTCTTCCGCCTCGCCCTTCTTGCGAAGCTCCTGGCTCTCTTCGTTGTACTGCTTCCCTGCCGCGGCTGCGGCTGCGATCATACCTTGACCTGTGTCCATCTCGTACCGAAGGTAGCAAACGGCTCCTCGGTCGGCGAGCTCGCGGGTGTTCGATAACACGAGCTTGCAGATGGCTGCGGTGATTTTGTCGTAATTGACCTTCTGGCCCTTGGCGCCGCCAGCTGATTTCGTCTTCTCGTCTGGTGGCGGCGTGACGTACGTCTTTGGCTGGCGTGGCGATTCCGATGCACCAGGCAGGACAAGGGGCAACACTTGCCGACATTGGAGAATCCTCGGGCATCTTGCGATACGTTTGCACGAATGAAAGGTTCGATCTTTGCAGGGAAATGGCTCCGGAGATGGCGACGCAACGAAAGAGTATCTTCCCCCACGAACCCACAGCCCGCAATCGGGCACTCGAAGGAGGCTGGTAATATCATAGACGAGAAGGAGCGGGGACCACACGTAATACACGAGCCCCCCTGGACCGCCCGAAGAAGATGACGGGCCGCCGTAATGGTCGTACTGAATATCTGTAAACAGTGAATACGTACATGTGCCAGGCTTCGTAGATTGTGACAGTGCCGAAGGTGCTCCAAGAGAGTTCTGCGCGTGCAAAAAGCGGCTCCACAGGGTTCCCCGTCGAGGTCCATCAAGCATCCGTAGGGGCGCTCCATATCCACGTGCTCAGGCTCATAACGTGCAGGGCCCTCAGGAGTTCTAAACTCAGGGGGAGGAATGCAAACCGTGAGCTGCTGGCTCCTAACATCGTCACGTCTACCTTCTGAGAATCCTCTGAGATGTCGGGGTCCTGTAGCAAATTGAGATCATCAGCGATCATTCGAATCACTTCGTATAGCAACAAGCGCGCTACTTTGTCAAAGTCAGCGGCCACCTGTTTTGTCCATGGCGACGCATGCTCGGTCGGTCTCCCACGCCAGAGCGGTGCGGAGACGACTCCCTCAATCGGGGAGGTGCCGAACAGTGCGCGCAATACTTGTTGATGTTCCTGCGGGTGGGCGCTCCATGCCTGGCACAGCTTCACCCTCCGAATTACATGCTCTCGCGGACAGGGGATGATCTTCCAGCGTTCCAAGACCTTATTCGTGATCGTGGTCACGCGGGGCTCTTCCCAAGACGTTGCCCTTCCCAACATTGCGACGCGCCCAAGACCCGCGAGACAACGATCCAAGATGTCCGTATCCGCCTCTGGCACCACCAAACTTGCAAGCCCACTGAGCAGCGCATTCTGGGCGAACCCCGGTGCAAAGACTTCGCTCCCAGCGCTTCGGGATCCCCAGGCTCCACGCCCTGCCCGAGGAGAAGAACCCAGACCTCGCTGCACTACACCTTGGAAATCTCTGGTCGAGCCGAGACACCCATGCTCAAGTAGGGACCAAGGTACTTCACATGATCCTTGACGGAGCCCCGGAGAAGAGTGGGGTCACGTCGGAGGATCTGGCGGCGTCGGTAGCTGCGCTCCGCGAAGTACACCCCAAACCCTTGCTTAGAAGGATTCTGGTCAGACCCAAACTCTGCCAGGCACTGGTCGAGCCTTGCATCAGCATCCGATATCTTGGTCGTGAAATCAGCTAGTGTCTGCTCTGGTTCGGCAAGCGCAAAACTGCTGATGTCATCGGCATACTTGAAAGTACTCAAATCAGCTTCCATATCATGCCGCTGTGCCTTCAGCACGGGGGCGCGATGTTCAGCCGACTGCTCGCCGCACTTCCACGACAAGATCGGACGCGCACAAGTTCCACAAAAAAGCTCGGACAGCGAATGGGTCCCCTGTCGTGTTCCCCTGTCTAGGGCGAATCATGAGGGGGCCCTCAAGTGCCTGCAAGGAAATGACTGCGTTCTGATATCTCTGCTGGCAGAGGACTCGATCCTCCGCGCGCGTGCAGCTGCATTGCGATATCGAGCTGGTCCCAGTCGGAGCTGCCGAAAGCGTTGGGCACTTCCTTCAACGTCATCGCGCGCGTCAAACCACGAGCTCGCAGCCTCCACGACGCGGCAAGAGCTCCGAGGACCGAGTCCTCACGACGCCGATGTCGAAAATAACCGTGGTTGTTTACGATCGGCGATGGCATCCATAGTGAACCCCCTTGCCAATCGCCGACATGACATGAATTACTCTGGGGCCGCGGGGGCCTGGCTGATCTGACTTGCGAAGTCCAGCCCCGCCTGTGCGATGCCGGTGTAGCGGCGTAGTTGCGCGTGCGTATTTTGCGGAAAAACCGTCTGTGGCAGGCTGATCACCTTCAAACCCAAGACCTAATCCTCGTCGGTGTTTGAATGTCCGCCACGGCATAAGCATCATGCGCCGAAGTTCCAGCGGGGCCGTGAACGAGGGGGCAGCGCGACGCCTGGCAGCGTGGCGGAGCCAATTGATTACTCTCTTTGCATCAGCCTCTGCCACCTCGAATATATCATCCCGCGGCAGCCAGTAGAAGGAATTGGCCTTACGATCTCCCCTCCATTCAGCCCAGTCCTGCTGCAGAACAGACATGCCGCATGCTGCTCCTTCGCGTTCCCAGACATCCAACCACGCGCGAGCCGTAGGGGGTGCGCTGCGATCCAACATGCCATCTCTCTTCTTGGGGCCAATGCTTGTCTGTGCTGCTCTCCTTGGCAAGCGCGCGGCCTCCGACTGTCGAGACCTGTTCCATAATTCTGATGCCTCTGCCACCTGCTGTGCCCGAGTGGCACGTAGTTCACGTCGTCGCTGGTCGTTGTTCTTGAGAAATATATTTTTTTCAGCTCGAGCGTTGACGCGCTGCGCCCCCTCCCCCGATGCCGAAATCTTTTCCTCGCGCAAGTCTGCCCGCGCACGAAGGAGAAGCGTGCGTCGTTCGCAATGTGATTGCCGCTGAGGGTCTCGAGCGTGGCGCCGGCCAAACTGTTCCTGACCAGCAGCTATCAATGTCGTTTCCGGGGCCTCAAAGGTCACATCAGGAGAAGAAAAACTCACGCATGTGAGCGCAGGTGCCCAGGGCATCGAGCTTCTGTTGGACACCGGCAAGAAACTCCGCTCGCCCTGGACCCCTCAGCATGGCACTCATCATACGATCCCTGCCCCAGCAAAGTCGTTCTTGGGCCTCCGAGGGCCCGGTCAAATGTTTCGCATGCAGCACAGTACAACCAATCGGTAAGTGATCTCTGGGACTAGGACCAGCTTGAGCTTGTAGACGGGCTCCGGGACGACGTAGCACGCTGCGCTGTACAATCTGATCTTCCACGCCGACGGGTAAACACATATGATTAATACGACACCTCGAGCCGTGCATGCCGTAGTAGGTCGGGGTGACCTGAGTGCTTCCTGCATTTTATGCCAGCATCTCATGAGGCCCAAGAACTTCGCGAAGGGATTCACCTGCACCTCGGCGGAGGCGCTCCTGCGATGGGGCCTGCTCGACCTTCGTCTCGATCGCCCCCCCCCCCCCCCGCCACGCCAATGCCGTCGTTACCGTCGCAATATAGTACTGGAGTGGTCCCAACGGGAAGAGACGCCAACACTTCACGAAGCCATGCACCGAGGATCTCGACGCCGCGAAAATATTGAGCGCGATGCTGCAAGCGAGATGGCTTCGGCGGAAAATACAAGAACACAGCGCACAGATCCAGGTGGCCCCTCTTCACTCGCGCTGCCAGGCAGCGACCTTTCAACTCGGACGGCGAGGGCCACATCTGCATCACGCGTCGTTCTTGCAACCCTTTTCCCAATCTGATCGAGCAGCCTGCCGAGGGATTGCTGAGAGGAGCAGATGGGCCAAACGGGGCTTCCAGAACACACTGCCCTAGTACATGCCGCTTCGTCACAACACTCTGAACCCTCTGCTGCCTTTCTACTGCCTGCGCACCTGCCAGATGGACCACGTCAAAATTAGATGCCCCCGCCATCACTTCAGAAAGTCTCTCACAAGTGCACGATTGAGGGTTCCACCCCAGCAAGAGAAGATGCTGTGCCATCCCCGCCCTTGTTCAGGCAAAATGCAACTGGAGAGAGGATGGTTCCATCAACGAGTGCGGTGTACAGTATCATACTGACCCCAGTTGAGTAAGTGCGCCTGCAAGCCCTGGGTCTAGGAGGAGGAGGAGGAGGAGGACCAGAGTAAACCGAAGATGCGTAAGTGATGTTTCAATCTACGCTTCCGTCCCAAGTTCCATTCGCACGCCCCGACAAGTCCTCCCCTTCACTACAACAAGCGCCCCTCTTGAAAGACCAGAATTGTCGGGCCTGCCATTCAGGCGAGGGCCACAATTTGAGAAGGAACTGCCTTGCATCTTTCTGTCGACCTGTCGTGGAACAACCATCATACGGTTCAACACGAGGTGTTCAGCGATCGGGCGCCTGGCGGGATACATGCCATGGAGATTCGCACCATCTTTTACTTGAGCACCGCAGTCAGTCTGGAGCGCCCGCGGCACACGCAGTCCAGGCGGTTCACGTCCAGGTATGTCGCCTGCCGACGAAGGACTCGTTCGGCACTCTTCCATCTTCCCTCGCCCGCCCAGCTTCCCGCCCCCTCCCTCCCTCCCTCCGACCCGCCCCCGCCTTCCCTCCCCCCGAATGTCTCACTCCCTCCTCCCGCATTTCTCTCCCCCTTCTCCAGGTATTTGTCCTCCCGCCTCATCCTGAGCTGGCCTTCCAGCCTGATCGCTGGACTCGTCGTCGGGCCAGCGCCTGCAGTCCAGCAGGGTGGGCAGACGTCCACGCCCCCTGCCTGGGATGGCCCCTGCCGCCGCGCTTTGGCGCGACAGGCATCTGCCTCGTCGGACTGTTACGCAGTGCGGGAACCTGCGCAGGCGGCAGGCACGAGTGAGCGCTCCACCGCTTAAGCAGATGTCTCCATCTGGGGCCTTCGCTGAAATCGATGATGGATTTGGCAGAGGGCGTCAAAGAGCAGAGGAGAACGCCAACGCGATCCAGCCGTTCAGCTGAGGATGGGGAGGCATTTGCCCGTGGGCAAGGAAGTTGCTGGAGATTTGGATTCTGTGCGTTGCGGGGTGCATGCGTGATCGCCTCCAGGGAACATTTCTTTGTGAGGTCGGCCCCACCCCTACGCTCTCTGACTCGGCCCAGCACCGAAGCTCGCCACGTTGTGCGATCCTGCACATGGGTCGGCTACGTGACCCTTCGCATGGCTAACATGTGGTGCGGGGTTCCATGGATCCCGCCATCATAAGCTGGCGCGCTTGGGTTGCTTGTACGTGCCCCCCCCCCCCCCCGCGGTCTGGCAAAGCTGAGCACCAAAGGTCACTGTCGCCTATGTAAGATCGCTCCTGCACGCAGCCAAGTGAGGCCCTCGTCGCCATGATGATGTGCAGGCGGGGCGGCAAGAAGAGGTCCGACCCCGAGAACGAGCCTCTGGCCCACCAGAAGCCGGCCCATGAGACGCTGCCCGCGAGCATGTGGCTGAGTGGGAAAGACAAGAGGACGTCAGGGTGGTAATTCTTGACACTTTCGCGTACGGTCGAGGCGTTCGCTTAGGAATGTGCACAGGAGGCTTCAGACCCTGGAGGGTCCCGTGTCTGATGAGGGCGGCAGTGATGTCCATGGCCAAGCCTCGATTGGTTTTCCACTAGCTTCCAGACCATGGATTTCGCATCCAATGGTTCTTTAACCGTCAGCAGGAGGAGGGGGGGGGCGCTGTTTGTTCAAAATGAGGGCACAACACCACAGGATGGTTGGAACAAATCAACCGTGCGAATTTCTTGGATCGGCGCTGGACCCACCTCCTCTGGCGCGCGATGCGCTCCAGGCGCGGCGCCGGAGTCGCCGCCAGCGGGTGTCCAGCGCCGATCCAAGAAATCCGCGCGGACCTCCGAAACTCTCTGTTCGTGTAGTTCCCTGTTCCTGTAGTTGCTCCGGCCCCCAGGACAGAGAAGCCTTCCCTCGGAGCGATGTCCGACCGCCCGACGACGCCGACAGGCGACGTCTGACGCCACGGCGAGGTATTTTTCGGCACGGGTGAGCAGCGAGGGCAGCAGCAGCGTGAGCTAAAGGCTCACAGCGCTGGTCTACATTGGGTGACCTCGCCGAAGCTGAAGCTCGTTGTCTTTTTTTTATCTTAGCGGTCAGTAGATTAGGCGGTATTTTTTTTGCGCTGCACTTCTGTCTGAGGCAAAGTGTCGTCGTTGTTTCTTTGTACAGGGACGTTCAGTCCACCATGGTCGTGGCCACGCGAATCCCAGGTGACGCAGCTCGGTCCTGCGGAGGGTGCAGGATTTGCCGGTGTAGCCCAAAGCGGCGGCGCCCTCGCCTTCAGCGGAAGAGTGTTGCTACCTTGCTTCCGGTTGCGATTTGCCACAGTACGTTTTCTCCTCGACCCGACCATGGACGCCCTTTTTACAGTCACTGCCGTCAGAGAAATCACGCTTGCTGGAACACCGCCGCTGGGAGGGTGTTGATAAGTGTTAAGTCGGGCATGTCCCTCTACAGGAGGAATATTCAGAAATTGATAAAAATAGTCTGGCGACGATTTTTTGAATATGTTTGAATATTGTTTGAATCTTTTTTAGCTATGTTTCATGTTTCGCACAAAATCCTCTTGTAGGGGGACACGCCCGACTCAAGTGTAGACTGGTGCCTGTTCTCGGACAACAAGAGGCCGCCTCAGTTTCCAGGGGAGTGGAGTGCCGCGCTGTAGAGAAACCTCGCCTGGGGGTGGAGCCCGAGACCCCCTCGCGCCGGGGACAAAATCACGGCGCGAGGTTTTTTGCCATGTCTGGCCCCTGCGGGCCCGCAGCGGACCGTGGAAGAACGACTCAGGGTGACTGGCCGGTCCTGGGGTACGGGCCGAGGCCTCCGGGGGGCGGCGTCGTGAACAGACCATGACGTCGGGGGTCTGCGTGCTCGGCGTGGGGTTTGTCCGTGGCTCCCGCTCCCTCCGGCTCGAGGACCGAAGTTCTCCCGCGCACAGCTCCACTCCCCGGGGCCAGTTTTCATCACGAGTCGTTTTTTGACTGTTCCGCGGTCGGGCGGGG